CAATGACTCGGTTGCGAGAGTTGGCGTGAGGTTGATTGATTGATTGATTTGTGGTGTTTAACGTCCCCAAACCACCATATGATTATGAGAGACGCCGTAGTGGAGGGCTCTGGAAATTTCGACCACCTGGGGTTCTTTAACGTGCACCCAAATCTGAGCGCACGGGCCTGCAAGATATCCGCCTCCACCGGAAATGCAGCCGATGGAGGCTGCATTATCGATGGAGGCGGATTTCCGATAGAGGCGGAACTCAAGTTGTATTTGTAGAGATGTAGTTTGACCTGCGTATGGCATACGCCACCGCTGATGTTCTAAAATATGAGCATGGTGACGAAAAAAAGAACAGCGAGACAAATCGATAACTGGGAAGAGAGTGTTAGACAATTCTAGAGCAGTGGGTACCCACTTGCCGTTAGTTCTGTGACTTTATTCCTGCGATGAATTCTGCCACTTGTAAAATAGCTCAATCAGGAATGTCACATCAGAGAATCAGTATTTGAAACCTAATAAACACCTTGTTTCAGTGACTGCGGTAATATTAGCGGAGGCCTCGTTATCATATGGATTACGGTGGCCAGTTTGTTTCTCGTGCCTCAAAAATTAAATTAAGGAGAGCTAAATAACAAAGCACCTAACTAGCATTACAAGATATTCATGAATGAATCCAGCCAAGTTTACAGAGATCTTTTATGTCATAAAAATGTGGGAAAGGAGTCTACTATGAACAAACGTTACTGTAAGATCATTGCACCAAGCCACGCTGTTAACATGCACGTTATCTCGAAGTAGGCGTGTTCGAAATGAGTTCATGCACGCACAATGAAGCATCCTATATGAAAAACAGCGACCATTTTAGAGAAAAATCAACGTAGCAGCAGCCAAGTGTTAATGCGGCAAGGCAGCCTCAACGCTTACGTAGCTTTAACAGAAGTTGTTCGTTCACAACAAGAACTGTACGTTGTTACCGATTTCAAAGAAAGCTGAGTGAGCTATTTTCGATGGCAAGAACGTAATTTTGTCCAAGCAGCTAATTAATTCAGTAGTCAAGCATACTTACAGTATACTTTGCTCTTTTATTCAATGCCCTAAAGAATAATAGAAAGAGAAGTCGCGTAGTCGAAGGTAGATCAAAGTTTGTTTCAGATAGTTAAAGTTACACTCATTAAGAAGCCACGTCCATGAATATGAAATAGCTACTTACGACAAATGTTTGTACTGTAATGCGTAATGACAACTATACTTGAAATGTGCAGGTAGATATCGGAAGTATTTATTTTGTTAAGTATACCTCAGTCATTCCGGTTAAAATAGCAGGAAATATTTAAATAAATGTTCAAACTGGGACCCAGGATCGCCTATCGCCATTTTTAATATCTGAGGTTTTAGGTCCCTAAGCCACAATATGATTATGGTAGACACCGTAGTGAAAAGTCCCAGCAATGCTGAACATCTGGTGTTTTTCTAACGTACACTGACATGGGCTTCTACCATTCGGCCCTCGTTGAAATGCGACCACCGTGTCGGGCATCGAAACTGCGACGTTCGAGACAGCAGCCGAGCACCCTACGCAAGGATGTGGAGCTTTGAGTACAGTTGGTCTTTGATTTATTATGAGTGCGTATAAGTAATTGTGCGTACATGGAATTAGACCAAGAAGCCAAAAACAACGCCAAGTCAACAACCAGTCAACAAGTCTATACCGTGTGTCAGTTCATGGTATTTGGTAATGGCAAGTGGGTGCCATCTCTATGAAATGGTACAGCTTGATTTTTACAACGTCGCAATGAAAAATGTCAGCACGATGTGTCGTGCATCAGGCTTTGTAACCAGTCTGTTTCTAACTGCGTCAGCATGTAAATATTAGAAACAATCTGTGATGTTCTTTCATAAACGAATATTTCTGTTTATTACAGCGTCGCTGACATGTGCTCAGGAACGTAGCACGATGATGACGGGCACTTTTTGTAACAGTGGTGGCTGGCAAGGACTAAACTCTGTAGATGATGCCACCGAATGGGAAAACAGTGATTATGGTACAATGCTGACAGCCAGTAGAGCAAGCGAATCGGATGCAGCCTTCAGTAGTAGCAATACACAGCCTGGCATAGGAGTAGCACTAAAAATTGGTGCACGCTTCGCTATTGATGGAAATAGATTAGAGATTGGGCACACAAGTGTACACGGCTACTTCAACCTCAAGAGAGTCTCGCGGATTCCCAGTTAACCCGGGTGAATTACCAAGTGAACAGAGGTTTACTGCGGCCGTTCTTAACGGACGCTTGCATATTCCTGCTGCTTATGCAGCCACGGGATCTCATGAAATCTTTGCTGAATATCCTAACATACAAGAGGCTAGATCAAAAAAGCTTTTGAAACTGGTGGTGGTATGAAAGAGCTTGAAAGTGAGAGAGTTCACAGCCCCTTAATTGATGAAAGAGCCCCATTTGGCCAAACCTCTGAAACACCTGAACCATCCGACATCACAGACTTGAGAATCACTATTTTGAATGTAAAAAATGAAGATTCAGATGTTCCCAATGATGTCGTAGTTGGTGACCGTTTGGGGAGTCGACCCGAACTGGCTAAGACAGATAGTCAGATTTCACTGCTGAGAGTTTGACTGATCTGTATGGTGCTGCCGAAGTGCACGGCTCTTTTAGGGGCGAAGCTCCTTAAACCGGCACCCGTTCGTCCCTCGTCGTAGTACGTAACATTTCTAACGCTTTGACCTGCAAGGTGGTGCCGGTGGTAGATTTCTCCTGTGCGTTGTTGAACAATAAAAAATTCGCAGCGTGTGCGTTAACTAAAGGCTGAATTCTCCTGTCTCTCATTCCCCGTTAACAGCCATTCGCATGTACATTCAGCACTATTTGACAAGAAAGGGTTGATACGTTATACTCGTTGGGCCTAAGCTCCTTGGTTTTAAAAAAGTTTAACGAGCGTTGGGCCGCAGTGCCATGAATACAGTGCACTAGTATATACCATGAACTCGAGAAGGTAAAGGTGGGAAGTAGACGCGAAGCGCAAGCCGTAGGAAAGTGTGCGTGTGCCTCCTCTCGTTTAGCCCTTGGAATGTCCGCTGGATGGCGACGCTTCTATATGTGGAATATAAGATGCGAGATGGTGGTACTTGGAGTGTTGACTAGATGGACGAACAGACACACAGACAGATGCATGGACGAATGTACGTATGGACGGGCGCAGGGGCGGATGCATAGATGAACGCAAGGACGCACGAACAGACGCACGCACGGACGGTCACACAGACAGACAAATGGACGGACGGAAGCAAGAATGAATGGACGGACGGATGCTTCGCCCAGTCTCCATCATTTACCCCGTGGATAATGCTGCCATTTTTTTTCACTGTCTTCAAAAGGGCACGTGCATTTCCAACATCGGTCTTCCTGCAACGCTTAACGTTCTCGTTAAGGCTGTTCCGAGTATGTTCTTGGCTGACTTAACATACAAATGTTCGGCCATCCTCCAGTGTGAATTACTTAATAAATGACACACGAAATAAACACGATAAAAAGAAACAGAAACAACACAAAGAAAACAGCTAGCTATAGAGTGGCGCGTTAAGTTCTTCGTGGCACGCTTTGCCACGTTGCCTTCGTTTCGTGGAACTTACAAGGCAATGTCGTATTTCCCGGCATCTTGACTGGCTCGACCTTGTGGAAAGCCACAGCGCGTACGGTGCCATTTTTCTCTTTCCTAGACATTAGCTTCAATGTTTGGTTGGATGGCTCAGGCTTTGGCTTTTGGCTCATCTACGGCAATTCTTCCTTCGCCTCCAGCAGACGTCTTAGGCTTCAGTTCTTCGCATTCATTCGTTGTAAGTGCTTTTCAATATCCGGAGGTTTCAGTGTGCGATGGGGCTTGTTTGAAACGCGTCTTTTGGGTGTTGCAGCAGACGCGACTTATGATTCTTGTAGACCTGGGGCATCGTCTGTTTCCACTGGGGTGCTTCCTAATGAGAGCGTACAATAGCCTGTCACGTAAACCCTGGAGCCATGGTTGACAAAGGTACGATGGAAACGTACCTCAAGATCCTCCCACGATCTGATTTAGGAGCTTGTCCAATGGTACCAGTCATTGTCAGCTCGGAGCAGTCGGGCATTGGCAGTTTAGAGCGTGTAGGCAGCTGACCACCCATAAAGTTTCGACGGTCGGCAACGTTTTCAATGCACTCGAACGCTGAAGAAGCGTCTTCGGAGACGTAAAACGTTCGCAGATCCCACGTGCAATGGGGATCGCTGATATGCGAAGCACGAATGAGGAAGCTGGATATGCAACTCTAAACTCATCGCAACAATACGAGGCGGAAGTAAATGATGCCGTACGTGGCTTTCATGTCACGATTATCGCGTTATCACGTTTAGACGTGTGATTTACCTTAGTCATCTATTTCATCAGACTTTCGACCATCTTAGTTGGAACATGACCTTAAAGCACCACCAGGTGGCCACTTCGACGATTCTATTTTAGTTTGGACTACAGAAGTAGCGTCAGCTTTTTCAACAAGCCCGATGCTAGCGTATCTTCTGGAAGCCACAGCACCTATGATGACCACGGCTTCTTTTATTTCAACAGCCCGAACAGCGTGAAGGTAAATAATCGTGAACCTTGTAGGCATATTTTCGATCCCTTAGATGATATAGACCTTCTCCTTACGTCAATAACGTCCGTGAAACTCAAGGCAATGTTTCGAGATTTAGTGGTGCCCATTATTCCGAAAAGTCCAATTTCCTGGTCCTATTGATCACCCGGCCCGGTTGCGACAGCGATTTGTCTGATTCCCGCGAAGCACGCGAACATCGAGAATCAACTGTTGTATTGGAATAATACTATTAAAAAGTACCTACGTAAAAGAACACTAATCATATATACACGTTAACATTTAGATACACTGGATAATTCACATTGTATACAATGGCTCATACTGTCGAAGTCTGAGATGATATTTATGCTAAGAAAGCAAATGTGACTCATGAAAGTGTTTACTATTTGCTAAATCTTAAGTTATTGCAGCTCTCCCATGAGCTTTTATAAAACAGCGCTTCATTTTTTAAGCAATAACTTCAGCTAACTCTCTTCAAAATACTATAAGACTTCCGGCGTTAATTTCTATCAGGTGTAGTCGCACTGACATAACACCAATACCAGATATATGAGGCTCGCTTTGCGTCATGTGCGCAATATGCGTCGTAGTGTTTAGTTACAAATGCCCGAAAATATTCATAGCTGGCTTCGCGTTTCGAGTGATTCTCTTTCATGATGAATCGCAGTTAGTGTACTTCAAAACCATCGATCAGAACGAAGAAATGGGTAGGGTATGTAGGCTACTCGTGAAAAAAGAACAGTAAAATACAGTAGGGGATGTTTTGTGGTTTGCGCGATTCAATATACAACCTAACCTTTTTTATTGCAAATTTATCTATATTATATTCTACGATGCGTCCCGTTAAAGCGGCGCAACTGAGACTACCATCTGTCTCAACCGACAAAAAGTCCTCAACCCTACTAAGCATCAGCTCTATCCAAAAGACTCGTGTATTGGCGCTTCTTTTCTTGAACTTTTCTGTCTCTCTCTCTGGCGCCATCAAGACAAACGCAGAAGAGCAATTCGCGATAAAGTTTTTTGACTGATCTATCCAGTGACAAGACGTGGGGGAGAAATGATTTTTTTTTTGTTTACACGGCAAACTGAGGTTTCCATGGGTAGAAGCCTTATATTATGGCCCCCTCTGGCATGAGCAGCTCACTGGATCTTGTTTGCCCTCTAGCTTACCAGGTCCGGCTAGGTGAGTCGCACTTCCCATGACCTTTCATTTTCGTTGCGTATGACGAAGTTGCCATCTTCTGGTTTTTGTTGGCAAGTAACACAGATGTGAGTGAGTGTATGTCACCGCACAAAAGGCAGCAGGCAGTATATTGAGATGACCACATTTTCTTTGTGTGTGTGTGTGTGTATGTCGCCCATTCCTCAACCATTTGCACAAACAGTTGAGAACGAAATGTTGTGGCGAATGCGCCATGCCCTGCAGGGTACGTTTCCAGTGTATCGAAAATACCACCGTTTATTACAGCGATACAATTGTTCTTGTGAAGAGGGAGAAAACGCGTAATTGAAGAAAAATAGCTAAATAGCAAATTCGTGCAGACAATATCGTTTGAAGAAATTATTATTTCGCTTCATTCTTAATTACAGGTCATGTGCCAAAAGCGCGTCCTAATTAAACGTTTCAAAACACTCTAATTTTGTATTCATGCGTGAAAGTTTGACACCAAAACATATGAGCTGCGCAACTTTGCTTATTCTGAGTAGCAATCGACCTCCCAGCCAGAAATTTAGTTCTAAAGGAGGGCGAGGGCTCTTACAGAGGGCTTGGACTATTTTAGAAAAACAGCCATTTTCATTGCTTATTTTTGGTAGAACACTACCCACCATCAGAATATTGGTGGAAATGGAGGACCCTTAACGAACCCCTGGCTGTGGGCCTGGTATCGATGCAGTATAGATGTCGAGGCAAACGAACAATAGCTACGCTATTGCTCTCAACTGGTAAAAAAGGTTCCTGTTTTTTTTTTAACTCCCGGTAAATTGCGTCATTGTTTACATTGAGAACGAAACCATTGAATGTAAGGGTATTTCCCCGATAAATTACGTGATTATTTGCATCAAGAACGCAACTACTGAATGTAAGGTTCTTCTAGTGAATGTCAAATACGTTGACTAATTTCACAGCCTCATTGCTTGGTATATTACAGCCCGTGTTTTGTTGCATAGTCCTAGTCAATTAATATGTTTTTTATGTTTAAAGACATTAAATTTGAACGATTTCAAATATTGAGTACCAGTTTTTAATTATATTTTGCCAACTTGATTACCATACATTTATTGATTGCTCAACAACTACTTTTTCCTCTCATGCACTATACATTCGATAGTAGGAGAGTACTGATTTATTCTTCATGAAAGACTGTGAGAAATTTGCATACATGCCCAAGAAAAAAAGCACTCACGACTAACACCGCTTGCACAATGCGCAAACAGAACGCAACCTAGCTTCTCTATTTTCAAATGAAGCTGTGTGTGCCAAGGTTCTGGCATATTGTGTACGCTCACAAGATGCAAGTAGAACGTCTCTTAGAGAAATGATTCACACAACTAATTGAGCATTTTGGCGTAAAGAAAGCAAAAATGGCGCAAAAATAAACATACGGTGAATAATTTCTTCCACATGGCGCAATGGCGCCCACCATTAACTCAAAGAAAATACCACTTGGTCAAAAAATAAACATCATGCCACTTTTCTACTTTCGAATAAGCTAGTTTTTTTTAGGTACTATTGGATTCCATTTTGAAAACTGCATTGGCCGCTGGAGATGAGGTAATATTTCTAACAGCCATGGTGTGATGGTGCGTCGCTTGGGGCCAACATTTTATGGCCTAAACAACAAGATGGAAGTCTACAAAGTATAGCAAATGTAGAA